ATACGCGTCAATTTAAATAACACGATTTCGCTACTTTGAATTTAGCCAAATGAGATTCTTAGTTGCGAATACGAATCAGGTGTTTTGACTACGGTATAAATAAGATTGCATCTATTGCTTTTGAATAGTTTTTTTAATTTATAACAGATAGATTAAGTCTGAAAGAATAATGTTTTACGTTTTTTACTTCCTTGTACGAATTAAAAAGGAAGTATTGCAATCGCGAAAAGTTTCAGGCAGCATATTTCAACGAAAATATCCATTTTCACTGCTATCGAATGCAATTTAACTATGTTTTTGCGTGATATCTGTACGTAAGGACAGAAAATACCTCTTTTCCTCCCAAAAAAAAAATTTATAAATTGCTTTAAAATGAATTCTGAAGAGATTTTTTCTTGGCGTCTGTACGAACGTATGTACGTACTTATATACGCATATATACTATTATATACTTATTACGTATCTCGCATAACTCAAAAACGAGTAGCCTCAGAACGTTGAAATTTTGTATATAGGACTGCTATAACATGTAGATGTGCACCTCGTATTTTGCAATCGGCGACACCAAACGTATATAAATATATTTATATATATATCCCCTCTGTTACCCGGCTCAGTGATCTCAGTTTTACTCTTATATGTTATGTTTGTAAATTGTGCACTTTTTGCTTTAAAAATGATTGAATTATGTTGTTCTTATCTTCCGGTTAAGGTTTTTATACCTTTAGGAAATCTGCAAGCAATATTTGTAGAATTATCAACAACTGTTTAAGTGCGGTTAAGCCTAATTTTTAAATAATATGGCGGATATGTTTGTTTTCATTTGAAGCAGCAGAATAGTAGATTTGTTGCCATTCTAGAGAGAGTAAGCTTCGCAACAAGAAAGATAACGCCTTTATTTATTATTGCGAATTAAATAATGCTTAATTCATTCTGGAATTTTTTCGAGGAAATAAGTGTTTAAGATTTACTTCGTAATTTTTAATATAGATATTTTGAGTTTATGTATTTTTGCCTTGTCGCGAAGTGAAAACTGAATTAATTGAATGAGAAATACTGAGTCGTCTGTGAAAAACTGTTTCTTTTTTGTTTTTTGTTTGCTTTTATATACTTTCTTTTATATACAGTTCTAGCTTTATTAAAGTATTTGAATAGAACATGTGGCAACGATTAGATAATTCTTTAAATGATATAAATTTTGTGCATTCTGAGTTATAATATAAACGAAATATAATACTGTTAAGTGAACCTAGCGCCAGAGTGTCGCTATGGTAAACAAATAGAGTGAATTTTAAAGAATACATTTATTCTATTGTGGTTTATGCGCCGTTGGCGAAGTAGATTTAATTCAATTCAATACGTTTAAATGAAATGCAAGGAAAAATGCGTATAATTTAATATTCCTTAAAAGGAAGTCATGTGGTGTACACATCAGATTTTTTCGAATGGCAATAGACTCAAATGAAAGGTGATACATCGCAAAATCGCGTTTTGAGAAAATAACTGTTTCGGACTACTAAATAAATAAAAACTCAGTGCTTAAATATTTAAAAATACTAATTCAATAAAAATGTGAAATTGATACTTCACATTCCAAGATGTAAATTATGTATTTCCCTTTTCTGTCGTACATTTAACGGAAGTTAAATTACATAACTATATTGTTTTCCTACAAAATAACACTATTGAAGTCGTATTTCGTACCTTCATGGATATGTCACGCCTTCTTTTAAAGTGTTTTAATGTAAACACTATATTTCACTTCAGACATTATATTTTGTAACATAAATACAGCATGAAATTCTGCTTAAATTTTATGTTTTATATTTAATCTATTTTCCCTTTCTTAACCTATTTTAATTTATCTAATCTTTATCAATTTGCCTATGATCAGTAATAGTTATTCATAAAGGATAATAGTTTAAATATAATATCAGTTTCAGTCTTTTAAGCATTTCTGCGAATAAATAAGAAGTTTTCAGCCTGCACTCAATGTTGCGGAAGTGTGCCGGATCCAATCAATCCGCGTTTGGGAGACTTCGGTTTTAAAGTATAAAATATATTACATTACTTTTTCCTTATACTGAGAAGTTTATTTCATGTAAGAATTACATTTTCAATATAACAAAATACTATATTAAAAATTCATCAGAATCTTTTGACTCATAATTTCATATGCCTGTTTAAAAATTAAGGATTTCTTGCTCAAGCTGCGTTCTATCCCCATTCATAACTCAACACTCCATCAAATGAATCTTTTAGTTCAAACGGTATACGGGCAGATGATAAACATGTAAAAAAAATCAAAACATACATATCAATTCAAAACTATGCACAAAGTTTAATATGGTTAACAGTGCCGAATATAAAGAAGTGTATTCCGTTGTACTCCCATTAGTGTCGGATAGTAAGGTTGTGGATCTGTTTGGGGCAGACTGCATATGACTTGATATGGCTGAGTAGGCAGTGGCACAATATGTAGTGACTGAGCCAATTTTATGGTTGTGCCGATCTGTTACTGCCAGTGTTAGCGGCCCACGTTGACGAGTTTGTGGAAGCTGTCTTTTTAAGTTGGTAGCTTCAAGTATGTGGGCAGTCAAGTACGTAGTGGTCCGATTTTCCTTCCTTAACGCACACACAGAGATCTGTGTTGCTGCGCTGTGTGTATATGTTAGAAATGGACCGTGTCCACAGAAATATCCTGTTAGTGAAGCGAAGCTACTGCGTAACTCTTCTGCCATCTTTAGGGATAAAAAGGGACGCCCTGCGATCCGTGGTGGCTGCGAGCCATTTTTCCTTTCATGTTTTGAGCATGCATGTGTGCTTGAGTGGTTCTTTTAAGATATGACAACGGAAGGAGAGTTGAAATCACTTCATCTTGGACGTTGTTTACTGCCTGTTTCGACAGATCTTCAGCCAGTTTATTACCGGTGATACCATTGTGAGCTGGAACCCAACAAAGAATAGGACGGTTGCGAGAAGCGATTCGCAATATTACGTGGCAATGGGCATGTACCAATGAGCTTCTGCTACGTGTGCCCGATATGCCCTGACAGCTAGCTGCTGATTCACTAAACATCATGCCATTCGGTGCATGGTCAATTGCGTAGCAGATTGCAGCTTGTAGAGCAATTAGTTCCGTTTGGAAAATGGAATTGTTGACTCCGAGCTTGCGAGTCCACTTGTATTGAACAATGTTATTCTGCCGATGGCAAAAGCCACTGGTACCATTTTCCGTCGTGGTTCGTGTAGACAGCACGTACACAGTTATCGTGGTTGTCCTAAATACAGTCAAAAGTCGTTAATTCGGACACCCATAATCCGGAATGATCTATAATCCGGACCTCAAAGCTAAAAACTTTCTGCGCATGCGCCGCGTTGGAATGCGCACAGGCGTTTACGCGTGCGCATAAGACCTTGACTACTGCGGCATATGCGTGTGCGCAAGTGCATAATCGTTTTCGCCTGCGCGTTTAATGTATACGACGTGTAGCTCAAATTATCTATTTCAGTTAATGTTATGATTGCGTTGTTCCTCAATCTTCGAATTGAATCCCGTTATTATTTTTGCAGACTGTAAGAGCAATTTTATAAAAGTAACTGAACTTTCGATTATGTCAAATAGAATTTCCGATGCTGGAACTCAAGGATCTACAAAACGAGGTATGTTTCGATGTCAACAAACAAGAAATGGATAAAGACATGAAGATGTGACGAGAGGTTGTGAAAACGAAAAATTTCGATTGACAAGTTAGTCGTATTCCGGCACAGCAATTAACGGGACTTGAAACAGCGGAACTTTGTAACTGAACAAGAAATTATGTCTGTTTATAGAATTAAAGAGAAAGTATTATCACAAAAAGCACTTAAGCAACTACATTGAAAGAAATGTTTTAAAGAAACAAATAAATATTAAGCTTTTTTTTTGTAAAATTTTGATACTTTTTAGATCATAATTTTCTTTTATTTCATAAATACGGTTTCATATTTTATTTTAGAATTTCTGCATCTATCTTACGAGATTTAAACTGATGATCTATAATCCGGAAAAATCGATAATCCGGAATCGCCGAAGTCCCGACGATTCCGGATTAACGACTTTTGACTGTACAAACCCAAAAAAGTTACTCAAGCAAAAACAAAACAAAGACTGTCACCAGAAAGATGAACACTTCCCTGTTGTGAAAGCGATCAAAAAAGAAGGTAAAATAGAAGGGGTTAAGTTAATTAAATAAATTCAAATAATCAAAAAGTATGCTGTTAAATCTGTTAGTTTTAAAATTTTGCAAGATATTTATGTAATATTTTATAATAAATTGAGGATTTTAAAAATGAACTGGAAAGAAATAAACAAGACCAAAATGATTACGAATGCACAGCTTTGTGCGTAAATATTTATAAGATAAAAATTTTAAAGATGATTACTAAACACAGATTCGATAATGAATTTCTCCTGTTTTCCGAACACAAATGCTGAAACATTTGTGCACAGGATATAAGCACAACTGTCAAATCTTTAAAAACATATTAAAATGAAATATTTATTTCATAGCCTACATGCGTGTGCTTTTAATTTCTATTAAAATCATTATAAATTATTCTGTAGAAATTGTAAAATTTTAACCAATTTCATCAGCATATGTACAGATCCAGGCCATTCAGAAACTGGGCAGCAATTAAAATTTACGAAAACAATTAAATTTACAATATTACGTCTTTAAGTTCTAAAGATTTAACTTGGGATATGTAATAAATTAGTCTGGTAGGATATATCTTTGAGATTATAAATGATTATTCCAAATGCAGCCGCATTTAATAAAATATGTCTCATCAACTAAAAATTATTATTCATTTCTTAAATCGATTATCCCAAAAATATATTAATTTAATAATAATTAATTTAATAACAAATTTGGGATAATTTGGGATAATAGTTAAAAGGTTAAAATTTATGATTACATATGTCATATTGAATTGCAACCAAAGCCTGTATTACTCACCTCGCCGAGCTTTAGCGATAGATTTAGCTTCACATCTACTACCAAAGCAGCCTCTGTTCTGAATCAAGTCAGGGCAAGGGCTTCCACCGTTCCTAGGTGATCGTATTATGTTACGTTCCCTAATCATGGTTCCGGATCCACAATCGGCACTGCAAGTGGACCATGCGCCCCAGCCAGATACTTCACAGTCAATCACTGAAAACAAAATAGTACTTTATGTAATACATGCCGGAAGAAATACGCAAGAAAGTTACAGAGAAAAAATAAATAGTACAATTTAGTAGTATCCTGGAATACTTAAGAAAGTCTTGATGAAGAAATAGCATCATCGATAGTAATTTGTTTTGGCAATCGACCACCTCCATTACCAACATAGTTTAGAGCTGTGGGTGGTCGTGTTAGAAAAGTTCTATTACGCATAAAATTGAGTGGAGTACGAATGAGTTAAGTAATTTTATTAAGTGTGATATATTTGAAAATAAATATACAGTAAAGTGTTTTAATTTGTACCTGAATATGTGTCACTAAGGTATTCTAAAATGTTAAATAGTTTCAATCTTGTTATGCGAAGCAATTATTCATTGTAAACAATAGCTCAGTGCAATAAACTATTAATTTGAACATCAGTTATACACCGTTAAGTTACTCCAAAGAGTTCAATAGTTTCAATCAATGAAACAGTTATGCGATGCTATGATTCGTTGCAAACAGATCTCACTGCAATAAACTGTTAATTCGAGTATCAAATATGTATCGTTAAGTTATTCAAATAGTTTCAAATTAAGAAAATGTTATGCGACGAAATAATTCTTTGCAAACAGATCTCAGTGCAATAAACTGGATGTCTGTGAATGTATAGTGTCTTTACGCATGGGGGTATTCAAACTATATGGCGAGCTGAAAGTCCTCTCGTGTGGAATAGTCGTAAGGGAGAGGGGTGGAAACCCTCGGACCCTACTCTCTCCCGGGGTGCTCTTCCTCAAAACTGAGTAAAAGTGGAAGTCCAACCCTCCTTGAGGCTCTGGCAACCATTCTTCAATGAATTCATGGACAAGACAACAACAACAGCATATTCGAAAATTAATTATGAAGCGAGAAGCATATTATGATTACGGGGGTTACTAGCAATCAAAAGTTAATTAATAAGTAGTTTATAAACATTATTTTAAAGGCTTACGAATGTTAAGTTCAGAATGATATAATCTTTGATTTTGAAATATAAACTTCTGCCAAGTTTATGCTATATGTATATTTATGAAAAGCAGAAAAAATTATTTTATTGCAGTTACTTTTAATTTGTTTATTTTGTTTCCAATTTTCACTGAAAATTCATGGATGGAAATTGAATTGATGGATGGATTGAATTGATTGATGGATGGAAATTGAATTGATTGAATTGATGGATGGAAATTGAATTGATTGAATCGATGGATGGAAATTGATGGAAATTGAAAGGATGGATTTAATGTTCCTTGTAAATGACCCAGTTTTTTAGCAATAATTAATAGCACCACTTACTCGGTTGATCACATTAGTAGATTTTTCTTTCAAATTTTTTCTGAATACTGCCCATTCTGAAACGCTTTCTTGAAATGCCCTTGTATTCTATAGCAAATTAAGAAGCTGAAATTTTTTTACAATGTCTAATTATTATTAACGGCAGAAAGTACATTAGGAATTTTCTTCTTAGTGAGTATGCTAACTAGTGAGTATGGAAGTGACTAAGCTTTCTCTGCTATGGAATAATATATACTATAAGAATGGTATTGCATTCTTCTGCGAGTATAATTACTGATATATTAAATTCAGGGGAAAAATAAGAAGTAACTGTTTACATTTACTTATATGTCTAGTTCTTACATACTTACTGGCTGCAGCACAGTTTAGTTCATAACGAATGATTTTACATTTGAGATTTATAATTAAGAGATCTTCAGCTTTTTAAATTTTCACCACAAAGAAAAACATTTTTCTTGGTACGTTAAGTGTCTAAAGAAAAAATTTGGTGTCTGAAAACCATTAAATTATTTCGCTATGTATTTGAAAATTCTTCCTATTCTAGCCCTTTGATAACGATTTCATCACGTATGATTATGTATATCTGAACATTCTGAGAATAATATTCACATTAAAGAGCAATGACAAAATAGTTTTATATAATTAAGATACAATATTTTTATTATAGATTTTTTTTCTCGCTTTTGCAGCTGAGGATGATGGTTAGGTAAGACCATCGAAACTAGTCCTGTGAAAATTTGAAAATATAACGCTGATGAAGTGTGCTACCGTTACACCCTGTGGGCATGCAGAAAGAAGGAAGAAAATACCTTAAAGCTTATCATCCAAACTCCGCAGTGCGTAAAACAATACTTGTTACTAAATCTATAACTTGCCTTATGAAAATATAAATTAGACACTTCTCCCCAAATTTTGCATCCAAAGCCACAGCATATTTTATATTGACGAATTACAGCACATAATTGTTTGAGTAACAAGAAGTATTCCTTTTTGGAGGCTATGTTTATCATATCCCACTACCGATAGTGTTGAACTGTTTCTACAAATTACTCTACCTCATTTTGAGAAACAAGTATAACTAGAGAATGCAAGTATAGGATCATTTTTCAAAGAAATAAAGAGTAGCTACTTTTTCTGAACATCTTGTATATTATACTATGTAAGGAATATCCTAATTTTATAACAGTTATTTTAAGATTATCGCACTTTCCTATCTCTCCTAGGTTTACAATTCCTTATCAGAATGCGCTTTTAGAATCGCGTTAAATGCAAATAAGTAGTAGAAAGTATTTAAGTCAAAGTTCACTGACTTCAAGAGAGTTGGGATTCGTGAATAGCGCGCGTTTCCCTTTTGGCTACGTCTCTCTAACAGTTACTACGCTCAACCGTATTACGTGCCTTTTGATAGCTTCTATAGCTAATTTAATATTACGGGTCAACTGGTGTCCGCCGATAACGTCGCGGCAAAAACATCGCGGACGAAAACGTCGCAGAGAAAAAAAAAACCCGCAAGGCAAAACTCGCTAAAAACATCTAAAACATCGTGATCAAAACATCCGACGTCGAAATAAGCGGTTCAAAAACGTCGCAGTTGAAAAATCGTCGTCCGAAATCTCGTTTTCAAAAATCAAGTATCTACAATCATCGCATGACGAAAATCGCATACATTTTTTTTTCAGTTTTATAATTGAATGGATATTCCCATAATGATTTAGAGCGCAAGATGTAAAGAAAGTTTTTTCACTTTTTATTAACTAAATTTTTCTGATAAGTAAGAAGGAAACTTAAACTTGCAATTAATGCCTTAGATTATACTTTTCAGTAGCTTTATACAATTACTTATAATTGTTGTTAGTTACTATCGGTTTAAATTCTATTAAAGTGTATAAGTTGGCATAATTTTCTATGTTACGTTTCCTTCTTACTTTTCAGCAAAAATTGTATTAGTTAATAAAAATCTGAAAGTAAAAAACTTCTTCTCACATTGCGCTCACAATCATTATGGGAATATCCATTTAAATTATTAAACTGAAAAAAAAAAATGTCTGCGATGTTATCGTCATGCGTGATTGAGATACTTTATTTTTTAAAACGATATTTTCGACGACGATGTTTTTAAACTGTGAAGTTTTTGAGCCGCTTTATTTTCGACGACGATGTTTTGTACCACGATGTTTTAGAACTGCGATGTTTTCTCTTTGCTTTATTTTCTCCCACGATGTTTTGTATGACGACGTTTTCGCCTTGTGTTGTTTTCTCCGCGACGTTTTTGTCCGCGATGTTTTCGACTGTAACCGGGTCAACTAGTTTATCATTAGTGTTAGCTGCTGCTAAATTTCTTTATTTAGTCATTAGTTAGTTCTTATTTCTCCCATTTTTGAGTTCAAGCCCAAGTGGAGGCTTTGTTGTACGCCCTGAGAAAAGGGGCCATCTGTGAATCTTTGAGCAATAAAGGGTAATTAACACTTCTTGAGTTTACGTTTCTGTTCTTGGACTTAAGCGATTGTTCGTTCCTCAACGCTTAGTTTAGTAGGATAAAAGTTACAACTATATAAAACAAAGTGATTTGATGGAAAGTTATGGGAATACAGTCTTATAAAGTTACATTAAGGAAGGAAGTAGTGCGATTAACATCGCTCAGCTTTTGTTCATCAGAGGTATTTTCAATATTCATCGATGAAAGCGCTAAATCATCGATGAAAGACTGTTCGCACATTTTTTAGACAATTTTCCATTGTATTTACGGAAATATTTTATTTATTTTTGTATTTTACATGTTCTCTTTGATAACCCTTATTCTTCATTATCTTTCTACGCCGTAATTTACAAGACAATAAAAATAAAGCCTTTTGCAATATCGGAAGAGATATTTTATCCCATTCGTCTTGAACGACTTTGCAAAGAAGTCTAAAGAAGGGTTATAAGAGTCAACATTTGGATAATCTGCTTTTTAAAAGTCCAAACTATAAAAATACATGGTTTATAATTAGGAGATTTAGTAGTGATATGAGTGAAGGTTTATGGCCTTGACACTCGTTTCTTGTTCCATGTTTTTCAGAAAATTGATATTGGATTTTGAGGTGTGTCTGCTTGCTTTGTCTTCATGGAGATCTATTGCTTGATGGCATTGTGGGTAAAGAGAAGGTGTTTTATATTTGAAAAACTGGGTACAAAATATGTTCGTCATAATGTATGCAGTTCATCTTAATATTTTTTCTACTCTCTGTGTTTTTAATTTGCCTGTAATATGAAAAGCCAGCAACAATCATAAATCCCTTTGAAAAACTCTCTTTAGATTCTTTGAACCATGTCTTAAGATTTTTTTCCCTCCTCTTTGATGATAATAAACCGATCTCTTTTTATTGCAGTTATTTAAATATACCCAAGATTCATCTGTTGTGACAGCATTTTGTCATATTTGGTCGAATACATGTTTCTCATAAAGAATTCTACAGCGCGTTCTGCGTTTAGAGATACATCGTAGAGAAGGACGATTATTATGTTTTTTTCGCCTCTTTGAGATTCAAATCAGTATTCATCACTTTGTTTATATGACACTGAGCAGTTCAGTGATTTTGAAACTGTCCTTTAACTTGGCTGGTCCTTTGACCTTTTCTTTTAACATAAGAGGTCTTACATTTGCAACATTCGAAACATTCCGTTTTTCCTTGGATATG